ATGGTTAATGAAGGTATCGTGGGATGATGAAATACCGGTTAGTTTTTGTCAGCAATGGATGCAATTTCGGGCAGAATTACCATTGTTGAACACTTTGAAAATCGATAGGTTTGTAATGGGAAATAATCCAAAATGCGTGGAAATCCATGCATTTGCGGACGCTTCAATTAAGGCGTATGGATGTTGTGTCTATATAAGAACTATAGATGAAATAAATAACATTTCAGTGAGATTGTTGTGCTCAAAGAGTAGGGTTGCGCCCATAAAGACACTAACAGTACCCAAATTAGAACTGTGTGGAGCATTGTTGAGTGCGCAATTAGTACAAAAAGTCACATCATCTATTAGTTATAACTGGAATAACATATACTTCTGGAGTGATTCTACTGTGGCACTCAATTGGATTCGTTCCTCAGCGCATCAATTTCAAATTTTTGTTGCCAACCGAGTGGCCCAAATCCAGAATAGTACGTGTATTGATAATTGGCATTACATCCATACTGATGACAACCCAGCAGATTTGGTATCAAGGGGAGTTATGCCCTCAAGCTTGGGAAATAATAATAAGTGGTTTTATGGACCCGACTGGTTATCAAAAGAAGAGAGCTTTTGGCCAGATTCACGGTTTGAGCATATAACAGACCTTCCTGAGAAAAAGCGAGTGTTCCAAACTCTATTTGTTGTAAAAATTGATTCAGTTTTTCCTTTTAATAACTTTTCAAGTTTTCAAAGGATGAAAAGGGTTTGGGGGTATTGTAAAAGGTTCATAAATAATTGTAAGAACAAAAATCGCCGAATAGGTCCTTTGGCAGTAGATGAACTTGAAGAAGCATTTTTTGATTTAGTGAAATGGGCGCAAAAAGAAAGTTTTCCTGAAGAATGTCAGATGTTGACAGAGAAAAAGATCATTAAAAAGGGTTGTTTATTGAAGTTAAATCCATTTATGGATGAAAAGGGTGTAGTTCGGGTAGGGGGTCGCTTACAATTATCTTCATTTGAATTTGGTAAAAAGCATCCTGTGCTATTGCATGCAAGCCATAACTTCACCAAATGTATTTTCAATTTTGAACATTATAGATTGTTGCACGCCGGCCCTCAAATGCTGCTTTCATCTGTAAGGGAAAAAATTTGGCCTATCAAAGGAAGGAACCTCGCAAAACGGGTAGTTCACACATGTGTGCGCTGTTTCCGAGCCAAACCGCGATGTGAGGCTCCGCTTATGGGAATTCTACCGCGTGATAGGGTGACACCTCAACCCCCATTTTTTGTAACTGGGATGGACTACGCGGGTCCATTTTTTATAAAAAATAAATTGGGTCGAGGGAGTTCATGTTCTAAATGTTATGTGGTGGTGTTTATTTGCTTTGCAACGCGTGCTATCCATTTGGAATTGGTAACCGATCTCACCACCCAAGCATTTATTGCAACTTTTAGGAGATTTGTTGCGCGTAGAGGGAAACCAAAGAAGGTTTATTCTGATAATGGCTCTACATTTGTAGGAGCTAAGTCAGAATTGCAGGAATTGGGAAAGTTTGTTCAGGCTAATGAGAGATGCTTGGTGGATTCACTTTCAAAGGAAGGGGTCATGTGGTCTTTCATTCCTGCGTACTCGCCCCATTTTGGAGGGCTATGGGAGGCAGGTGTGAAATCATTTAAGTTCCATTTGAAGCGAGTGGTGGGGGAAACAAAATTAACTTTCGAAGATTTGTCAACAATATTGACCCAGATCGAGGCAATCCTCAATTCCCGGCCCATTACTCCCCTTTCCAGTGATCCATCCGACCTACAGGCATTAACGCCAGCTCACTTCCTCATCGGGAGAACCATTACTGGATTACCAGATCCAGACCTTGAGGATATTGCAGAAAACAGACTCTCACGCTTCCAGAAATTGCAACGTATCCAGCAATCCTTTTGGCAGAGATGGGCTACAGATTACGTCGTGGAACTTCAGAAAAGAGTCAAGTGGACAACCTCGAAACGTGATCTTCAAATTGGTCAGATGGTTCTGATCAAGGACAGCAATGTACCTTCGTTGTCTTGGACACTAGGTAGAATCGTCCAGCTGCATCCAGGTCCGGACGGAATTCCACGAGTGGCAACCATCCGCACATCAAAGGGGCTGATTAAGCGATCTTTCGAGAAGATCTGCTCTTTGCCAATCGAAACTTCTGTAGCAACAGAAACTCCAGTGGGTGAAGAGTGAATGGTGCAGAGTCATTTGTGTTTGTGGATGATGTATATTGACTATTGTAAACTGACTGAAATAATGTGCAAAGTTGGCACACATATATTACCATGATTTAATCTTTGTAAAATTAGGTTAGGTTTTTTCATTTTTGAAAGACTCTTTCAAGGTTGGGGGCATGTTTACTTAAAAATGTTACGCCACTGGTAGTCTGCCGTCAGCCATCCCCTGCCGTCAGCCATCCCCTGCCGTAGGGTACACAAAGACTCAGTAGTCGTTGACGAGACGCCGAAAGAGAATTTGCGCAGCGTCTTTTCATTATTATAAATTCTAATAGTATTTGAATGTAACCAGCAGTCCACATCTTAGTGTAATAAATAGTAATAAGTTATTTACGAATTGCTTTATTCACTACAACAAAACCATTCCGGACATTTTATCCAGTGGTGCCCTACAGAAGGGGGGGGGGGGAACTTTTCCACTCATATTTTCTACGCCACTGATTAAATTTCAATTATTTCCAATTCCTCGAATTCATTGTTCAATTTTGTTGAAAAAATGTATCACCTTCAACTGAGCTGTAATGAACAGTTTTCGAGATATTCGACCCAAAATAGAAGATTGCATAGTAATATTTCATCATTTTCAGTAGTAGAAAATTGCAAAAATATTTTTCTGGTGTTGAGTAGATTAGATACTATTCAGATCTCATCCTGAACAGCTGAACAGAAATAGTTATTCCACGCATAAATAGGAAACACAAATTTTTGTAATCTTCTATTACTGAAGAAGGTGAAAAACTACTATGCAAACTTTTATTTTGGGTCAAATATCTCGATAACTGTTCATTTTAGCTCTGTTGAAGATGATGCAGTTTTTCAACATAATTGAACAATCAATTCGAGAAATTGGAAATAATCTAAATTCCATCAGTGGCGTAGGAAATATGGGAAGAAAAGTTATCACAACTGTCGCAACTTTCAATCCTGAAAAATTTATTGCCCCACGTTGGGCGCCATGTCGTCGAAGAGGTTCTTCCAAATCAAGCTCCACATCTGATGGAGCTGGAAACCCCTTGAATGGCGATGGGCTTTGGGTGCTGAGCCGCCGTTGCAGAAACGATGATGCCGGCGGTGGTCTGTGCTGACCGTTCTGAGATACATCCATATCTGAACGACAATATCAATACGCGATGATTGAAAGACTAGAATGATAACTCTCAAACACGACTTTTATTCAATCGGAATCGGATGTCAGTCACACTTGACGTTCCCGAATCTCATCATATACGGGATGGTGACACCTCGCAGACTGACCTCTGCGTATCATCATCATCGCGTATTGATATTGGTTCAGATATGGATGTATCTCAGAACGGTCAGCACAGACCACCGCCGGCATCATCGTTCCTGCAACGGCGGCTCAGCACCCAAAGCCCATCGCCATTCAAGGGGTTTCCAGCTCCATCAGATGTGGAGCTGGATTTGGAAGAACCTCTTCGACGACATGGCGCCCAACGTGGGGCAATGAATTTTTCAGGATTGAAAGAACCGTACCCACAAAAAACTCCATGGCCGAACTGTAGAAGATATAGAGTAGTAATTCACTAATATCTCTTGTTAGTTATGATGTCGCAGACTGACCTCTGCGAGGTGTCACCATCCCGTATATGATGAGATTCGGAAAACGTCAAGTGTGACTGATATCCGATTCCGATTTAATAAAAGTCGTGTTTGAGAGTTATCATTCTAGTCTTTCAATCATCGCGTATTGATATTGTCGTTCAGATATATATGTATCTCAGAACGGCAGCAAAGACCACCGCCGGCATCATCGTTCCTGCAACGGCGGCTCAGCACCCAAAGCCCATCGCCATTCAAGGGGTTTCCAGCTCCATCAGATGTTGAGCTTGATTTGGAAGAACCTCTTCGACGACATGGCGCCCAACGTGGGGCAATGAATTTTTCAGGATTGAAAGAACCGTACCCACAAAAAACTCCATGGCCGAACTGTAGAAGATATAGAATAGTAATTCACTGATATCTTACCTTGTTAGTTATGATGTCGCAGACTGACCTCTGCGAGGTGTCACCACCCCGTATATGATGAGATTCGGGAACGTCAAGTGTGACTGACATCCGATTCCGATTGAATAAAAGTCGTGTTTGAGAGTTATCATTCTAGTCTTTCAATCATCGCGTATTGATATTGTCGTTCAGATATGGATGTATCTCAGAACGGTCAGCACAGACCACCGCCGGCATCATCGTTCCTGCAACGGCGGCTCAGCGCTCAGCACCCAAAGCCCATCGCCATTCAAGGGGTTTCCAGCTCCATCAGATGTGGAGCTTGATTTGGAAGAACCTCTTCGACGACACAACCCTCTGTAGCGCACCTCTGGGTGAAATTCTCGGAATGTCTTTCCGATCAAAAAAATCAACCATTGAGAGATGAAACCATATACCGAATTTGAATGCATTATATTCAATTTTTTTCGAGATATTGCGAGAAAAATATTTCAATTTCTTAACTACAACGCTCTGTATCTCGAGAACTGAACACTTGAAGACCTAATGACCCTATCTCAGTGATTATGAAATCACGAGGACTATCACCTGTCAAACGTTGTCGGTCGAATTTCGCAACACCCTGTAGATGAAAACAAGTGGATTTCAAAGAAGTGTAATAAAAACATAGTTTCCACATGACATGTTCCTCGGAATTGTGCCATCAACACCTTTTTATGGCAAGGTTTAAAGTCGAAATAATATTGAAATCGGCTCCTATCTCTCGTTATATTCGAAACACTCACTGTTCTATCTGGTACCACATCAGAAGTCACGCATCCAACGTCATTGGGGTTGACTACCAGGAATAAAAACAAAATAAACCCAGCTGCTCCTATGTATAATCCTGGCATTATGAACGACAATGCCCAATCCGTTTCAACATATTCAGCCGCAATCAAAGAACCTACAAAAATCGTTTTACTTATAGTTATTTAACCAACTAGTGTATTAATGAGGGCGATTAATGATCGAGATATTTCAACGTGCGAGCGAAGCGAGCGCGTTATGTTCGAGATTATTAATCGCCTTTTAATATACGAGTTGGTTACAGAATTTTTCCGACGACTTTATTTCTCATTTCTCCTGCAATGAAGAAAACTTGGTTCGCGAATTCATCATTCATCCGGAAACTACTAAGAATCACCCAGTAGCCTTGTTACTGACATTATACAGTGTGTCCCACTTACCATGCTCACCATGGGTATCTTTTTAACGGTGAGAGATACGAGGTCGGTTAAATGACACCAAATGTGGATTTTGTCAAGGCCAACTATAATGTGAAAAAATATTTTGATAAAATCTATTCGTTTTTGTTTTATACGCAAAAAACAGATTTTGATCATTTTCATGTCTCCTCCGTAAATTCTTTATTTATGAAAATATTCAAATAGAAATTTCACATTCTCATGGCAGTTTTTCAAAGTGATTTCGGAAAAAATATGAAATTTATACCAACTCTTCTAGAATTTGAGATATCAGCACCAACTTTAGTTTTTCAAATGTAGGTCATAGCTCACTATGACTTAGTTACAAATAACTTTTTTTTCTCTCACAGATGTTATGTTGCAGTAATAGTTTTGTGTTGATAACAACAGAGTTATCGTCATTTATACAAGAACAAAAAATTATTTGGAAGCCGTTATCTTGAATTTATGAATTTCAACAAAAAATCATGATCTCCGACCTCAAAAACCCCCACTTTTGAATGGAATCGGACCAAATCTTGTCCGCCATCTTGGAGCAGCCATTTTTTTAAATTTTAACAACAATTCCATGATGTATTGTCACCAAAATTATGAACACCTGCCAAATTTCAAGTTAATCGGAGCTATGGAATTTTTGTTGAAATAAAAAAAATGGCTGCTCCAAGATGGCGGACAAGATTTGGTCCGATTCCATTCAAAATTGGTAAGTGGGGGTTTTTGAGGTCGGAGATCATGATTTTTTTGTTAAAATTTAAAAATTTGAGATGGCGGCTTCCAAATAATTTTTTGTTTCTGTATAAATGACGATAACTCCGTTGTTATCAACACAAAACTATTACTGCGACACATCATCTGTAAGAGAAAAAAAAATTATTTGTAACTAAGTCATAGTGAGCTATGACCTACATTTGAAAAACTAAAGTTGTTGCTGATATCTCAAATTCTAGAAGGGTTGGTATAAATTTCATATTATTTTCTAAATCACTTCGAAAAACTGCCATTAGAATGTGGAATTCCTATTTGAATATTTTCATAAATAAAGAAGTTACGGAGGAGACATGAAAATGATCAAAATCTGTTTTTTGCGTATAAAACAAAAACGAATAGATTTTATCAAAATATTTTTTCACATTATAGTTGGCCTTGACAAACTCCACATTTGGTGTCATTTAACCGACCTCGTATCTCTCACCGTTAAAAAGATACCCATGGCGAGCATGGTAAGTGGGACACACTGTATAGTGACATTTGACATTTGTCGAAATGATCAACATAGAAAATAAATTCCTTGTGTTAGAAAACAGGGATAAAAATCGTGTTAAAAACTTGGAAAGGCGAACCCGTTAACGGAAAATCTTCGATGAAATCCATATTTTTGATTTGAATGCAGATTCCGTAAGTTATAGCATAAACAATGAATGCACGCGGTGTATGTTTGGTTGCCTATAAAACAATCGTGCATTGATAGAAAAATTGATCATTAATAGGGGTCATTAATGACCGATTCCATATACAGGGTGGGCCACCAGTAACGCCTCGGTCTCTAGAAGGCTAACCACTTATCTTCTTGGAATTCTTCCTCTCTAGGAAGTTGCATGTCAACATAGGCTACCATTTGAAATTATTTCGAAACATACAGGGTGTCCCCAAAAACCATAAAACACTGAAGTTAAACTTTTTTCTATCGAACACCCTATATATTATTTCATTTTGAGATTCTCCCTGATGAGCTGATTTCAACGACCCATCATACTTGGGGTCTAGCAGTTATAATTACTGAAATATAGGGTGTGAAAAATCGAGATTTTCCAAGTTCAAGAATTTTTTGTGTCGAAACTATTCATTATTGGTCAAAACGACTTACATGTCCCTATCTCAACTTTTGATTAACTATCTACTGATATTTAATTGGGACATATACCGGGTGATCAAGATTCTGAATTCTGCACCACCCTGTATTTGTTTAAATTAAATGTCAGTAGATAGTTGATCAAAAGTTGAGATAGGGACATGTGAGCCGTTTTGACCAATTATGAATGGTTTAGACACAACAAATTCTTGAACTTGGAAAATCTCGATTTCTCACACCCTATATCTCAGTAATTATAACTGCTAGAACCCGAGTATGATGGGTCGTTGAAATCAGCTCACCAGGGAGAATCTCAAAATGAAATAATACATAGGGTGTTCGATTGAAAAAAGTTCAACTTTAGTATTTTCCGGTTTTGGGGACACCCTGTATGTTTTGAAATAATTTCAAATGGTAGCCTATGTTGACGTGCAACTTCCTAGACAGGTAGAATTCCAAGAAGATAAGTGGTTAGCCTTCTAGAGACCGAGGCGTTACTGGTGGCCCACCCTGTATATTAAACTTAGTCGTTAATACGAGGTCGACGGAAAACCATATTTGAAGCACATTTGATAATTTATTTTTCCGTCATGGAGTCAGGAACAAGTGGAAGATGCTATATTTTACCTAAAATGTTTCCAATACTCGTATGTGAATTCCACAGCCCGAAAATAAGGCCTCTTTTGCTTTTTCCAAACCAGTTACTCATTACTGTTACAACACCAGGCCAGCCCGTTGTTTGAAACACTCCAGCCATTCCCTGAAATATCGAGAGTTGAACTGCAAGGGATTTCATTGAAACTAGTCTTAGAATTTTTACTAAGTTTATTTAAAAAAACACATTTTTGTTTGCTGTTCAGAAATGAGTAGTAAAAATTTAGTGAAAGATGAAAGTGTGGTGTGATCTTACATCTTGTATATAGAATGTTTTAATGTTTTAAAACATTAAAACATCCTATATACAAGGTGTTTTTAAATACCTTAGCATTCATTTTTTCGTAGATATGTAGGGGCCCAAAAAATATGAATTTTCAAAATCGCCCTGTATTTCTTGAATGGAAACAGTTATGCAAAATCTGATTAGGCGTTCTTGACTTTCACAAAAAAGTAGGAAATTCCAGGCAGAATATCTATACTAATATTATAAAGAGGAAAGATTTGTTTGTATGTATGGAATAGGCTCCGAAACTACTGGTTCGATTTGGCTGAAAATTGGTAGGGAGGTAGCTTAGAACCAGGAGTAGGCTATAGGATACGTTTTATCCCGGTACCATTAGGAAATTCAAGATGGCGGATCTAATATATCGGACGAGTTTTGTAATTATCGTCCGATTCTATTCAAAATTGGTACCTGGATGTTTTGGGGGTCGGAGATTATGGTTCTTTCGCCAGAATTTGAAAATTCGGGCGGAATTTGGAATTTCAAGATGGCGGACGAGTTTTGTAATTATAATCAGATAAAATTGGTACCTAGGGGTTTTTGTGATCGGGGATTATGATTCTTTCGTCAATATTAAAAAATTCAAGATGGCGGACCCAATATGGCGGACGAGTTTTGTAATTATGATCCGAATCTATTCAAAATTGTTATCTGGGTGTTTTCGGGGCCGGAGATTATGACTCTTTTGTCAAAATTTGAAAACGGCGGGATTTGGAAATTCAAGACGGTGGAACCAATATACCGGACGAGTTTTGTACCGATTCTATTCAAAATTTGTGAGTGGGCGTTTTCGGGATCAAAAATTATGATTCCTTCGTCAAAATTATGGGATTCAAGATGGTAGATCCAATATTGCGGACGAATTTTGTCATTATGTTCCGATTCTATTCAAGATTTTCATCTGGGGTTTTAGGAGTCGGATATTATGATTCTTTCGTCAAAATTGGGAAATTCAAGTGAACTAAAAAGGAGTTGAAATAAATGGTAGTTTGAAATACTAAAGAAATACGCTTTTATAGATAGCGAAACTAAAGAGAAGTAGAAAATAAAATAATAATAGTGCCTTGATGAATATTGAACTGAAAAAATATATTATAGAAATAATGTGTATAGGAAGACAACGTGTCGAACTAAATTAACAATAATCAAGATCAGATTGTGAACTATTTGAATAAAACCTTAAAAAATTCGAATCGTGGCCTTATGCACATTATCAATATCATGATTCTAAAATATTTGCTGCACCAGTATTTTCACATTAAAATAAATATGGTTGAGCATGATGAAAACATATATCAGATGTTTTGAACAACTGGATAATAACAAGATAACAAATACGTCGTTAGTAAAACAAATGATTATCAAATGCAAATAGACATCAATAACATAGAGATAGGATTTCAATACTGAAATTTTTAAAGGAAGTGTTCAGTGCACCTGTCTTTGAGTTTATTAGACCTATACTATGACATCAGCTCATGCAATTCGATGAACATTAAAAACTATAAATACTGTCTGTAGGTTAATCGAGGAGGTGGTACATTCATATCACTTGATTTTTTGGGATTTTCTCTCCTCGTTTCTATAAAATAAAAATATGCGTATTATTTCCATATATTTGTAGTGGGACGAATGATTTGCCCCAAAATATCACTGCGTTTAACAAATTTTTTTATCAGGGAGCCTGAAAGAAAAATCCAGTAGCTTTGTTTGAAAAAATGTTTGAAGGCAAGAAATATAGATATATATATGTATTGAAAAAATATCGAATTTTTACTCATGTTTGGACGTTTCGGGACCAAATCTGCTCCCTTCTCAAAATGAAAATGCAAAATATTTCTCTTTGGAAGTTGTGCTGCTTATAGTTTGACACTTTTCAGTATCATTCTGATTTTGGCATATGAATGAGTGATTTTAATCTACAAATGAGTTACAGGATGTTTTGATTAATTGATCTTGAATCTACCATTTACATGTTCAGTTTTCAGTAGTGAATACCATGTTCTATCTATATCAACTGAACAGGAAGCAATGTTATTGTCTCCGTTCAGAAGAATGCAAGCGGATTCCTTGATTTTTCTTTTTTGGTTGTTATCTTCCTTTCCTATGATTTTGATATTATTCCACTCTGCCATATGTGGAAAGTATTATACAGGTGAAACGAAAAGACCTCTCTCACTCTCTCAGTAAGCACCAAATAACAAAAGTACAATATCAAGAAAAGACATATCGATAAATCGAAGCTAACTGAACATATCCTTATTGAAGATGGACAACATAATATGGCATGGAATAATATCAAAATCATAGGAAAGGAAGATAACAAAAAAAAAGAAAAATCAAGGAATCCGCTTGCATTCTTCTGAACGGAGACAATAGCATTGCTTCCTGTACAGTTGATATAGATAGAACATGGTATTCACTACTGAAAACTGAACATGAAAATGGTAGATTCAAGATCAATTAATGAAAACATACTGTAACTCATTTGTAGACTAAAATCACTCAGTATAAGCAGCACAACTTCCAAAGAGAAATATTTTGCATTTTCATGTGAGAACGGGAGCAGATTCGGTCCCGAAACATCCAAACATGAGTAACAATTCGATATTTTTTCAATATATCTATATTTCTTTCCTTCAAACATTTTTTCAAACAAATTGTCACTGAAAAGCTACTGCATTTTTCTTATAGGCTCCCTGATAAAAAATTTGTTAAACGCAGTGATATTTTGGGGCAAATCATTTGTCCCACTACAAATATATGGAAATAATACGCATATTTACATTTTATAGAAACGTGGAGAGAAAATCCCAAAAAATCAAGTAAAATTAAAAACTATACTGAATGCAAACAACCGACTGTTTTTTTTTTAATAATGTACAGGGTGATTGACTATGGATTTCTCGACTTCAACAGCTGATATTTCGAAAACGAAAAAAGATATTTGAAATTTGGAAAAAGTTACTTGAATGAGATGTCATTTCTTGCTGGAAAATGTGTTTTCTGCTTGATTTCATCATTTCATATACAGGGTATGTGAAAAAAAATTTTTTTTTTCAAATGGAACCCCCTGTATATTATCGCATATTTCGAAAGAGCTATCTTTCCTGATTTCAAAGATATATACTTTTTATATATTCTATCGAGTGCTTGACGAAATATCAGCAAAATTGAATATTAATATTTGGTCCAAGTTAGCTATGGTTGAAATAGAATGAGATGATGAATAAGTGAATTGACATTTGGTCAACATTTCAGTGACATAAGTGCGCAAAATTTCGATAATTTTTTCACGATGCCATATCCACTGAAACAAAGAAGAGATATTTTGGAGTGCTATTTTTCAGTTGATAAAAATCTTGCTGAAACACTTCATAAGTTTATGAGGAGTTATCCAGGCAGGAGATTACCAAGTAAGAATTATGTAAAGTATTTGGCTGCTAAATTTGACAGAACTAACAGTTTGTCGAATATTGAAGGCAAGACAACGAAGATGAGGATCTTTCACGGTCAATAAGAAATGCAGTGAGAGAGTTTGGTTTCAGCTATTATTTTGTTCAACATACCTTAAGGAAATATAAATATAGGGATTTCAGAATTAGACCATGCCACAAACTCAATTATGATGATAATGAGAAGCGGATTGAATTTTGTCTTGTCATATCTGAAAGATTAAAAATATAAGTAAGTATAAGTGTAAGTGTTTCAGCAAGATTTTTATTAACTGAAAAATAGCACTCCAAAATATCCCTTCTTTGTTCCAGTGGATATAGCATCGTGAGAAAATTGTCGAAATTTTGCGCACTCATGTCACTGGAATGTTGGCCAAATGTCAATTGACTTATTCATCATCTCATTCTATTTCAACCATAGCTAACTTGGACCAAATATCAATATTTAATTTTGCTGATATTTCGTCAAGCCCTCGATAGAATATATGAAAAGTATATATCTTTGAAATCAGGAAAGATATCTCTTTCGAAATATGCGATAATATACAGGGGGTTCCATTTGAAAAAAAAAATTTTTCACGAACCCTGTATATGAAATGATAAAATCAAGCAGAGAACACATTTTCTAGAAGGAAATGACATCTCATTCAAGTACCTCTCTCCAAATTTCAAATATCTTTTCTCGTTTTCGAGATATCAGCTGTTGAAGTCGAGAAATCCATAGTCAATCACCCTGTACAGTACGCTTTTGAATTATATACTTACTTGAACTACTACATAATACGTCAGACTATGTATATCATACGTCTTTGCGATACCTAATAAATAACTGAATATTCCGGACATTAACATGCCCAAACTCAGGAAATACCTCAGGTTGACTCTTTCGGCTATGAAACCGGAAAAGAACATGGCTATCGCATAGCAAAATAAAAAGGACGAGTCCAACTCTCCCAGCATTTGCGTTGCACTGGAATCAGTGCCATCTAAAAAATGAATTTTTATGTAATTTCGTTCCAATATAGGGACTGTATGTCAATATGATATTTCATATTACCACTAGTTGCAAAATGAATGAAATGAAATTGTCTTAAAATGTTTCTGCTGATGATGGACTATTGATAGTCAGAAACATGTTCAGATACTGATAATTCTGATAATAAAGGAAACACGGGAAATCGGGTCTCGGTCGAATTGGCTGAAATTTTACTATGTTGTTGTGGGATGGCTCATTAGAAAAATATGTGAGTTTAAAAAGTTTTGTATGTTTAGTTTCTGAGATATAAGCCGACAAAGTTCGTAAAAACGTCATATTGGGGTAGGATTGACAAAGAAAAAAACTGTTTTTTTAGTGTAAATGAAACAAAATAAGCTAGAAAATGTATTGATCTGAACACATAAACATGTCTAGTTATAATCACATGAATTATAGTAAATCAGGGTGTATCTATCTATCTATCTATCTATACGAGGGACGGTCAAAAAATTCATTTTTCGGAAAAAAAACTTCGAGCACTATTCCAAAACCAACAAGTTATATTTTGGTGGGATATTATAGTTTTAGTCTATTGTAGGCTTCGAAAACGTATTTTGATTCTTGATAACTATCTCTGTTCGAAATATGAATTTTTAGAATTTTGTGTCATACCCCTTTTTGAAAACAATTGAAAGCTTGTTTTTGATCACAAAGGAAGTGATCAATTGATACTGTTGATTGAATGAAAGCTGAGGAAACTCACTAGCAAATTCAGTTGTTCAATATTGCCTTGTATTTAGATACAGGGTGTGTTAGATTTTGTTTTTGTTCAAGATTATTTAACATGTTTCAATTGAATATCTCGAAAACAGTTCCGTTAATTTGGATCTCATTTCACTCACACTATTTTGAATATGTTGACTATCATATGCAAGAAGTTTTTCAATTTTTTATGTTTCGTTTCTGAGATATCAATTTTTGATAGTAATATCCGAGGTAATAACCCTATAATACCTGTAATACCGGAAACTCAAAAATGCATATCTCAGAAACGAAACATAAAAAATTGAAGAACTTTTTGCATATGATAGTCAACATATTCAAAATAGTGTGAGTAAAATGAGATCCAAATTGACAGAACTGTTTTCGATATAATCATCTTCAACAAAATCTTGTATCTGAATGAAAAGCAATATTGAACAACTGAATTCGCTAGTGATATACCTCAGCTTTCATTCAATCAACAGTATAAATCAATCCCTTTTTTTGTGATCAAAAACAAGCTGTCAATTGTTTTCCAAAAGGGGTATAACACAAAATTCAAAGAATTCATATTTCGAACAGAGATAGTTATCAAGCAAAATACGTTTTCGAAGCCTACAATAGACTAAAACTATAATGTCTCACCAAAATATAACTTTTTGGTTTTGGAATAGTGCTCGATTTTTTTTCCGAAAAATGAATTTTTTGACCGTGCCTCGTATACACCCTGATTTACTATAATTCATGTGATCATAACTAGACATGTATTTGAGTTCCGATCGATACATTTTTCAGTTTATTTTGTCTTATTTATACTAGAAAAACAGTTTTTTTCTTCGTCAACCCTACCCCGATACGACGTTTTTACGAACTTTGTCGACTTATATCTCAAAAACTAAACATACAAAACTTTTCAAACTCACATATTTTCAATTTCAGCCAATTCATATCAAAATTTGATAGCTGTTAATTTTTATTCATTAAGAAGTATTCTGTTATAGAACTGATCTTATGGTAATTTGGAAAGGGGAAAATGTTGCATAAGGGGGGGGGGTCCAGTAGCATGGATAACAATACTATGAGGTTAATTTTTCTATAAAAAATGCCTTATATGGTTTTGCAAAAAAATCGACCCTTGTTCCTCTAAAAAAAAATTATCGTTTCGATAGTTCCTGAAGCTAGTCCCAAATTTGGTTAGAATCCCATCAATAATAACTGAGGTAAACAGGGGGCCATTAGGCAAAATTGATTCATTTGATAAATATTGTATCAAAAACCATTAGGAAAAATCGAGGAAAAAATTTAGTAATTTGAAACAATTTATTTATATCTTCAAAAACAAAATAGTGGTAGTTATACTTCAAGAGGCACACCCTGTACCTAGTAATTAAACAGCCACCATAAAAAGATCAAGTAGGTATTACAGTGTTACATTTATGATAACATTTATGAACCATTCTTAATGTTCAATATTTATACATAAAAAAAACTCAAATATACCAAACCATAATGCCCATATAAATTCTGACTGATGTAAATTTTACTGAAACAATAAAATGTGTACTGTGATAAGAACATAACAAACTACATTATCAATAATTATGCACATGATTTAGCCAGATATTCCTGATAAATATGTTTTTATCATCTCTAGTGATTATGGTGCAAAACAGTCTAGGTATCATTCCATTCTCCAAAACATTTATTTATTGAATAAATTGTTTGAAATATGAATATCCATCTGTAATCAACAGGAAGTATAATTTGGAGATTACTAATAAACAAATCAGGCACTATAATTGGGTATTCTTTAGACTGTTATTGGCATACAGCAAACATATTGTTTGTTTTGTTCTCCTCACACGATGTAACTCTTTGTGATGAAGTAATGTACCAATTTTGAGATTGATATCTTATGAAATACGCGAGTAATTAGAAAAAAACAGTTTTTGATTTCCAACTTTGACACCCTGTATATCGAATATGAACTAAAATAAAAAATGGTATTTAGAAACTTATATTGTTTTTGTTCAAGGAATATATGGTTAATGGATTGACCTCCTTTTAGCGGACACCCTGTATTCAGTAAACATTCCAATATTTGATTAAAGATAGATTAACAGTGGACACTCATATTTTGAATGCCATATAATATTTTTGAGAGTAATATACTTGTAAATTTCAGTCCAGACGAAAAATTATGATTAAATAAAAATCATATTCAATTTTAATGAATGTTCAAACAAACTTATCTTTCCTATACATGATGGTAAGATAAATAAATCTATCTGTAGATCATGTGGTGAAAATTATTAAAAAGATCACAGAATAATTTGAAAAATTATAATAGTAATAGTACTAGGTACATACATCATACTTTGTGGCATTATATTTGTTTCAGATGTTTATAGTCCTTTTCAAAGCAGGAACAGAATACTTCTTAATAAATAAAAATTAACAGGTATCAAATTTTGATATGACAGCAAACTACTAGCATTTAGTCAATGTGAAATGTGTGATCTCAATTGAGTCTTTGTTTGTATCCTAATAGAGAAAGATCATAGCTGTTTTTTTCTTTGTATTTCCTATTCTTTGCATCAAGTAATAAAGATAAAACCAAGGCTAAAACCTACATATTACATAATTTTCCACACTATATGTATCAAAGATTAAAGCAAAAGAATACTGGTGAGACTTTGAAGCAGATTCCAAGTCATGAGTCCTGAGTTGATCATTGAAGGAATACTTCTTGCATGTTTCCCTATTACTTTATGTTCATAATTTAGGACTATTGAATAAACTATAATTCTAAGCCTCACTGTGTTACTAAAGAGACTACTAACCAAAAGGGGCCCAATCACACCAGTTGTTGGGTTCATTGTCTTCAGGAGGTTTCAAACTGCTACAGTTTCTATGTAACACTGCTTTCACAACTGAAATTGGCTTTCTGGACATATGATAGCACATATAAGCAATGTATGTTAAAAACACTACACTTGCACGGTAACTAAAATGAGTTTTTTGAAAAGGCCAGTTTTTCGAAAATTATATTAATGCTGACTTACCATATTTCCCTGTTGAAGTGAAATCTTGGACAACAATTTTCTGTCAACTTTTGTAAAAATCTAATACCCCAAGGAACTTCACTATACAATAAGCTCATCTTAAGTTTGCGTTTAGAGAATCTCAGTTGATTCCAAAGTATGAGTAACATAAATCTTATTGAATGCCTGAAAATATGTACCTATAATACTTTAAAATGAATACAGCGAATTTCAATTCCAGAGGAAATATTATTCTTCGATCTGATAGTGCTGTGGAATAAATTGTACTTGTCTTTGTTGCATTGGACACTAATGAAACAGCTTCAAGCCAATTATAATAAATATTTGTATTTGTCACATTATTATTATCATGAATGTATCACTTACCAGAAAACTCAGGAACATAAACGTAATTTATTTTCATGCAACATTACTACATCATTTATCATTTTGATCTCACACTTAAATGGATTTATGGAAGAACAATGAACAAATTTCAAACAACCTTTCATCAAAATAAAATTATTCAACAAATCAACATTATGATATCATAGCATTTTGACATTTTTGACAACCGACTTGGCAACTTCACTTCTTTCATTTGAAGACGTTGCCATTAATGTCCAGTGGCGGACTTGGTAAGTGGCAGATAGGCACGAATTCAATCTGACCTGAAATGAGGCATCTAGAGACAGGATGCAAGTAGACAAGGCGCAACAAATAATTCGCGCGGAAACAAGTTTACAGAAAACATCATTGAAATAGCGAATCACTATCGGCCCCAACAGTTAATGGCTTCACAGTATTTTTTTCCATTTATTACTCCGGAAAAAGAAACACCCGGATTATTTGTTGAAAGAGCTATACCAACCTTGCTATTACAAGTTACCTCATTTCAGGTCAGATTGAGTTCGTGCGGCAGAGATATAGTTCTTCTTCTGATATTTTGGTCATCACGTCTGCTATAAAGGCTATCCGGATCTTATAGCTTTAAGCCTTTAAGTACAGGGTGGATCTCTGCGGTAAAACATACGTATAAAATGAAATAATAAAAATTTCTATAGGCCCACCCACCTAACAAAATTAAATTACACAAACTTTTCTTACTTATTTTAAATAGTGAATGACCCATATATATCAGACTGAAAACCCTAAAATCTAGATCTTTTTCACTAAAACGATCATGAAATCCCCAATTAAAACAAAGTCTCAAAAACGTCTTCAAGGCGAATACGGAAACCATTATGCAATATTATATGTTATTATGATTGTCTTTGCGAAGTCACTTGAGACAGCTTGCGTTTGTCTTGCGTTGTCAGAAAAGTATATCTATAGTCTATGTGGAATATGTCGCCATTTGGAGAGCGAGTTTGCGAAAGCATGGAGAAATTGGAAAATCCAACAAGAATAATGTGATTCACGTTTATTCTTTAGATTGTATTACCGAATTACACACTCGAGCATTTTTTCGGGTCGAAGTAAACTTGAAATTTATATAATATATACATTTGCAATATTGCTGAACGTCCGTCTTAGTAATTGCTACAACCTTGCATCAACATACCTTTCAATTTTGCTTTGTGGGGTAATTGAAGTGTAAAATTGTGCGTATACAGGTTGTTCTCGAAATGTTGTTCGCGACTAAAATGCTATGATGCTGTATGTAATTTTACTATATATAAGGTGTATATTCTATGAATCACAACTTTTCAAGATATATAATTATATACTATATACTATATCACATTTTTCAATTATTTTTGAACGTCGCTGGTAACTTATTCCGATGCTTATATGACCTCCCCAAAATGAAACGCTTAGGTATGTTCGACTCGAAACCTCTGTTCAATCATCTTCAAAAGTTTCAGTTTTATCTAGAGGTTGTTAGATTTCTTCCAAAATACCTATTTCATTCTACATCAATTTGCTTTTGTTCTTTATAATATGTTATTTTGATCGAAATTGCTTACTATGCATGGTGCATGTCCCGAAGTTAGCATACCAAACTTCACATGCGCAGCTTATTCAACGACCAAAAATAGTGAATAAGTCGAAAAATGTCTCCTAATAATAAGGGAGCTTCGGCCCCCTGAAAAGGGACTCCTGAAGATGAAATTTCTTGAATATTTCCGAAACGCTATGAGATAAAATGATGCAATTCCGTACAAGATCTAAATAACTTTGCATGACCAATGGAGTGGAAATGAAACCATTCCAAAATTCCATTCAGGAGTGTATAATACAGGGTGGGACTACATTATAAATTTTAGTATGCATAGTTCTTGAAAATTGAATCTCGGATTATGAAAATCCACACCACTTTACTGAAAAAAAATTATGCATAATAGATGTGACATGTAACAATATTTTTGAATCGATTTTACTCGAAAATGATACATCTGATCGATCGATACGGAACAATTAGTACATTATTTTTTCTGTAAAGACGTGAATTTTCATAATCCGAGATTCAATTTTCAAAATATATGCATACAAAAAAGTTCCATCAATATTTAATGTAGTCCCACCATGATGTATTAAATAGGCTGATTGAATGGTACAGTAGACGTTTCTGGAGAACGCAACGTAGGATTATTTTGAAAATTTGGTTCCTCCGATAATTAGTTGTTTTCTATCAACCCAAAATATTCTCAGCGTTGCTACGTTGCCACTAATATTGAAAACTAGCAACAACTTTGATTTTTTAAATGGAACACCCTGTATATTATTCCATTTTCAGATTCTTCCTGAAGAGCTGAATTCATCGATCCATAATACCATTTCGCAAGTTCATCATCATATGATCTGGGAGCTGGTTGATTCCAAATTTCATTCTTTTTTTCTCGCCAACCACTTATTTTATTATTATTATTTTCAATTCGCCCAATTTTCAATTCACCCACCATCTCCGAATATACCCGAACGATCCGCTGTTACCAAATCTGAATGAAGAATCATTCTGGGCTTATAATTATCAAATATTTCAATTTTTAGAGACACATAATATGTTTGTATGGTACATATTTGGATTCACCCAATTTTCGATCCTCCCAATTTTCGATTTACCCAATTCGCCCCAAATTCGATTCACCCAAATTTCGACTGACCCAAATTTTGATCGACCCGAATTTCGACTCAATATAAGGAAGGAAAATATTATTTTCTGCATAAGGAAGGAGACTACCTTTTCCAAACTTCCTAACCTAACCTACCTAACCTACTTAACCTACCTAAATCGCATCATTCGTAAATTGGGCGAATCAAAAATTGGGTCAAACGAGACGTTCCCATTTTTTCGAGTAAAAAAAATTAATCTGAAGATGACCATCAACAACCTTATCATATGCTAAAGTAGTTTATAAACATAATTATTGTGGTCAATAACTCAACACAAATGGGGTAGAAACTTGTTAAACATGATAGTCCTGATACATATCATATGAACCAAGAATGGAGATGCACCAAAATTAGTTACGTTAGATATCTCGAAAACCAACGAAAATTATATTAAAAAACTACAGTTAAAAAATAGTATGATGATTAATTTTGTCATTCATTGAAATATCAAAGTATGGTCAGTTGCGTACTTTTTTCAATTATCATCAAAAAGAATGCGAAATACCTATCTCCCTGTATATTCATTTAATCGATATGACATGTTTTGCATGCACATTCACGATAGTAAATCGCTTTATGAATTTTAGAGCAGTACCTTCCAAGGATTTTGAAATATTCCACAAAATCTGGAACGACTCAATGGTGCATTTTCGTATAGAGGTAAGTTGACTTCAATCGGCCTATTTTGGTTTCTAGTTCATCCTGTAGAATTAATGGTACGTTATTCTGGAATACATTTCATATATTTACCCCCTTTTTTCTTAACTCTGATCCCGCCACTGGAATTTCACCGTTTAGAAGAGAAAATGATCTCTCTGTATGCGTCTAGAGAAGGACGTCGAGAGTTGTGAATCAGTTGTGAATTTAAGTTCCGCCACATGCCGGTAGATGCCGCCTGGTGTAAATTCGCATCGAATTCGCACGTATGATAGTTGCTGGATGCTCTGATTTCTATTTCGGCCTATTTTTCTTGTTTAGTGCCATTTTTCGTGTTAATTTCGAGTTGAAACTGTAAAACCGGACTCCCAGCTGCCCTTGGTGAAGCGTGAAAAGCGACAAGTGTCTTTTTGCAAGTTAATTTCATCTGTTTCAAAGGTAAGTGTCGTTCATACTCTCAACTGACCTAATTTGCTATTTTAAGCCGAAATTAGTGGTATTTTGGCAATTTTTGCACACCAACGGGCGCAATATGGATTGAAACATCGTATTATTGCTGAATTTCAACACCTCATTCCCCTTTTTGAGTTTTTGTTCAAGTGAATTTTTAGGTTATATTTGTACAGTAATCTAGACATGACATCCAACAAGCAGCTACTCAAAATCGAAAAAACTGTGACTCCTGCCTACTTCAAGTTTTCACTCTGGAAATTTGTACGAAACTCTTCCAATTAGAAATAAGTAATTCAATATTGATGATGGCGGTTTTTTTTTTCAGCAAATTTAGGTAGCTACCCAGGTAGTTGTATCTATAGTTACCTACCTATGTACCTATATATACTTACCTAGGTACCTTATAGCACCTACTATTAATCTATTATATCATAGTTTGGTATCATTACATCTTTTATTTAATACCTAGATACCAGTTAGATAAAGAGAAGTAGCATAAGTACCTAGTAAGAAGGTTGGTATATAATGGTATATATAACCTACCTATAATAAGTGGGTAGGTACCTACTCAAATGTATATAGGTATTATATACATACCTAGGTACAGTTTTTTCTTTGTTTTTGTTTTATGTTGTATCTATACCTTTCAGCATTGTACAAAAGTATATATCGCCTTATTTCGATCGATTTTGATGAATGCAATGCATATTATACTGAATACTAATACACATACAGGGTGTGTCATATTTCCAGAACAATGCAAACTCCCCTGTGAAAAGGGAATCAAAAACCCATCACTTGAACCCCATTACAATTTGAAAATGTTTGGTGGATGACATCCCCGTTTGAAAGGTAAAGTTTGGTCTATAACTTTTACGTTCAAAGTTGTTTTCCTCCGATTGGCAGCAAATATTAATTTTGCTGACACATATCAATCAGCAAA